ACAGGCGGGGCTGCAGCGGCAGGGCAGGACGTGGGCACCGAGAGACAAACCTTTGGTTGGCCCAAATTGACTTGAACGCTTCGTAAGGGGAAGAGGAGGGAACGTTAATTGTGTTAGCCTTGTGGTGGGGGCCTGCCCGTGGGGACGGCTGGTTTTCGGTGTTAACTTCATTGTCACCTCCCGCAGCCCCATGGGGATGGGTGCTCGGGGAGCACCCCGTGAGCTGCCCCCGGGACCAGGCTGCGACGTTGGTGGGGTGGCCTGAGAGGAGGGGGTGGCTTGTCACCTCCCGCAGCCCCATGGGGATGGGTGCTCGGGGAGCACCCCGTGAGCTGCCCCCGGGACCAGGCTGCGACGTTGGTGGGGTGGCCTGAGAGGAGGGGGTGGCTCTGCTTTGGGACAGAGACCTGTCCTGTGCCTGTTGGATGCGGAGTTTGTGGACCCTGGCAGGGATGAGGTTTGCTGGAAGTGGTTTGGGCTGTCGTGGTAGATGGGGCGCTTGCCATGTCTGTGGGACTGCGGCCACCCCGGGAAGGGACCTGCTTGAGCCTGTGCCACTCTCCAGGGCACTGAGCGGGCAGAGCCTGGTGCAGGTTGGAGCCCCCATGACAGCCCCGAGGGCTTCCCTCACCCTGCCTCAGGGCTGGGGCTGGCTGGGGACGCGTTCACTTCGGTGAGGATGGTTTCCTATAGGGTTTCTTTGTGTGCCAGCAAAACCCAACGTGCAGCTGCCCTTTGCCATTCCCATGGCTGTGCCGTAGCGCAGATGCCCAGCATTGGGAGGGGACTGTCCCCACAGGCAGGGGACAGGGGCGTGCTGGTGGGGCAGCTGGACTAGCTTAGCGTTTCCCCCACCAGCTTTCCACCCTCATCCAACCTGGAGCAGGGCAATGCATGGCCACCCTCGTATTTAAACACCAAGTAAAGATGTTATGTGGCAAATAAGCCCCGAGTGGCTGGAACAAAGGGAGCAGCTCGCCCGCAGCATTGGCCCCCATCACCAAAATAATTAAGCATCCCTGCATCCCCAGGCCTCGTGCAGTGGGGGGACCGGAGGGGAGGGGGC